CGTCACCTGCGATACCCAGTTGGTATCTCGGTATTCTGGCCGGGCCATCGAGGTGTGACTTTATCCGATTATTTGGCTAGCGATTCTGAACTCAGAAGAGGTGGAGGTCAGTCAAGGATGGAGTATACAAAAAAAACAAGTAAAAAGTTATCCAATACCTCAGGAATAAAATCGGAAAAAGGCATCGGCGAAGAGCAAGAAGAATCAGGACAGGAACCAGTGCTACCTTTCTGCGTGGAATTTCCCTACGGGCAAGGTTAATAATACAAATACTATTGCTCCATACCAGAATATCTTATATTCATCATTCTGCTAACTTTATATCCTGTTTAATGATCCCTTAAATTTAATGAATCATTTATCACTTCTAATCCTTTCCAAAACTAAAATCAAATGATAAGTAGAACTTGTATGCAAGAAAAATTTCCTTCATTCTCATGAAAAATGACAACCGTCATAACGACAATTTCTAGGGTTAGCAACCTGTTTCTAAGGTATCGCCTCTTCAAAAATCACAGTAAGTTCATTTATTCCAAAGATTTCCTTGTCAGCCTACCTTCTTAACCAGCTTATTACTTTTCACTAACAGAAAGCGCTGGCAGTCCCTTTCTTTGGATGTAAATATTTATTCATTGTCAATGTAACTTTAGCTTCTAACGCAGTTTTTCATGTTTTCAGAGTGGAGGTAATAACCTATACAAAAAGCCATCTTCACAAGAACCTTAATTTAGTTATATTCAAAACTTTCATTTCCAATTTGTTTGTTTTTATTTCAAACATTTTCTTAAAGTAATCCAACCGAATCAGAGTGCCAACAACGAAGATGAGGCAAATGTGTCCGCACTCACTATCTGGATTCGCTTTTGTGCACCTCGCTGGATGGACTCTATTTTTATAGCCGGACACCCGCATCCTCAAACCCTGCTTCTCATTGCGCGAGCTCTTAAGGACATTAATACATTTACTCCCAATCTTGGTAATGCTCAAAGTCATATACGTGATTGTGATCGGGGGCTTGTGACTGCTGTTGTCCTCTCTGCCGCAGTGGATACCTCGTTGTTGAGCTGGTTTAGCTTTGTTGCCAGGCGACCATGCCACTATGGATTTGAGATATCTACTCGTGTGAGTTCAGTAATTATTATTATTCATATTTTATGTAGTCGAGTTAAGCATTTGTTGAACTTTTATTCGTTTATTAAACAGGTTAATTCGTTAAATTAGCAGATAAATTTGATCCCATTTTTTTAAAAGGTCTAAATTTGATGTGTAACGACACCTCTCCAAAATATTCGATATTTTCTATCGCAAGCAGAATTGCTTAATAAAACTATCGAGATTGATTTCCAATAATATCAGGAATTTGTAGCACACTAATCCCCATTCAGCATAGACTTCACTATTGTTGTTGTTCCATACGCCTTGTATATATTTATAATACCAGGTTAAACTAGACCAAAGTGATCAATTTAGTTGGCTCGTTAGCTTGAAAATGATTGTGAGAATGATACGATGGATGAGTGCTTATCTTGTTTTTCCATGGAATCAAAGGAGATTGCCTCGGAAACAGCGTCAGCATGGATTTTTCATTAAATCCAATCGGCAGTTGGTCAAAAGGAATCCACCGTCGTCTTCTTGTGAGATCGAAATGGGAACAAGCATACCAATTATGACTCAAGAGATTCCTCAAAAACCAACTCTTATTCGCAAAGAAAAAGGATTCTGCAAGTACTAAACGTGTAATAGAGGGACTCAACTGTCTGATCCTGGCGGTAGCAGAAACAAAATCTCCAATAAGGCCTTTATTTAATCTAGGTCTCTTGAGGTGAATTGGGAGTGATAGGTAATTTTCCCACTACAAGATAAGAAGGCCTCATTAATTTATTAAATGTTATTAAGTATTGCTTTCCTAATGGTATTCTGAGACATGATAGACTCTAGTTTCGACTTTGTCTGAGTCTTATCAGTAACTACAATGGGAATCGAACTCAGGCAGTTCAGCGTATATTTTCGACATGTAACTTTTAAGCCAGACTGCCCCAATTTTCATTCAAAAAGAATAGAAGCAACGTTGTTGACTGTAATGGCAAATGCATGTTTGCTTCAGCAAAATCCATATTTTACAAAAGGCTCTGAAAAAGGCCTAATCTGCCTTGAAATAAACTTCAACCTCGTTACCGATTGACACTCGTGGCAATGTAGCATAGTTTTGCCATATCAAAGTTATACGCTTCACCACCTGGGTTCGATTCCCATTTGGGCTGCTGATAAGACCCAGGCGAGGTCGAGTCTGCACTCCAGTTCAGCCTGGATAAGAATAACTTTTTGGAAGCAAGGATAAGTGAACTTCATTGGCTACTAAGGTCTTCTCATCTCATTGTGGAGAGCTTCATTCTTTACTTTTGTTTAATATCGACTACTAGTCCCTAATTTCTACACACAATAAAATCTTCAGGAAGTGAGGCAGGATTGAAAATGAGATGAGTTAAATACTATGCCAAACAGGTGAAAATGTTTCCTTGCATTCCTTCCCATCGTCTCGGGTGTCGAGAGAATGCTCAAATTAAGCAGGAATGGTTGAGCTCCAATTAATCCATGTATGCTCTGAAAAAAATTGTTACGAATAAATGAATTATAAAAATAGAGGCATATAATAAAAAGCTGGGTTTTCCATACCGTCCTAATAAGCATTTGTTGGCATTTAAAATTTCATTTTGTACGGAGAATTGGTGTAAGTGATTCATGAATTGGTCATTTTAAGTTTGTAAAATAATAACTGTACACATCCACACGATGTTGATCTTGACAGGAACAACAAAAGCTCAGTATTGATTTATCTGTTCTGGAGGACTTCTGTGCTCAAATGAGCCGTAGCAGCAATATTGCAAGCCACTTTCGGCCTCCGGACTGGCTAATTATTTTTATCTATGGGCTCACATTTTCTTTCAAGAATAAAGGTCCAACAACACGAGAGGGCTAATCTGCTTGACATGCTCACTATACTCACTAAAAAATATGATTCCTGTTCCTACTACAGGCTTCTTTTCCAATCGAGGGACCTCCACACTAAAACAGATGTTTTTCTTGGTATATAGCCTGGTATAGGCTGGGTTGAGCCCCAGTAGCAAAAGTTGTATCATTTCTGCCTCTGATAATCAAAACTGGAAGTATAAATAAACGCAAGACTGTATTTCATTAACGACTCTATATAGGGACTGAAATATGATGAATATGGCTACCATTTGATAATTTTAAGCATAGTTGTAAATAATTTGCCAATTATTAAATTACTTTTAGTCCAAAGTTCAATAAATTGCAAGCCGCCTGTATCTGAATGGTCTTTTCCTGGTCTTATGTATTATACTGTAAACACTATTTCCTCTAATTAAAGTAAAAGAAAATTTAAACAAAAGGGTACTTCACTGGCAAAAACTACACTATGTATTTAGGTGATCATCCTTAATTTAATAGAACCCTTGAATTTATGCTTTTCATAAACTTATGCATAAAAATAATAATGATATTAAAAGATTTGCAAAATGGAAGAGGCACAGGCAATCCCAATGTTTAGCTAAGTGGAACAACTGGGTTTAGAAGGACCCCTCAATAGATTATTGTCAGGGTACATTTAATGTGGTTTAAAGAGGCGAGAGAAAGCCATTCGCAATTTGGCCTCACAGGAAGCTGAAGGGGGATCTCGCCGTATTTGTGACTGTAGATTTGTGTGAATGAGTGCTCGACTCACCTGCATAATTAAAGTAGGACTAGGCATTTTATTAACCAATAGCTACGATATCAACTAATGAGGTAAGAGGCGAGCCTTTCTCCAGTTCCGACACCCTAGATAAGTAGAATCATGAGACCCATCTCGAGACTGAAAGAAAAGATACGAGATGAAATCTTGTGTCGTAGAGATTGTTTTGGAATCATAAGTGGTACATAAGTATGTTACACATAGAAGAAGTTTGCATGTGCGACAATGATTAAGCTTGAAGAGAACAACCTAGACACCTTGTTCACTTGTGTAGTTACTTGAAAGAGCTACCGTGATGAGAGGTCGTCATGGCCAAATGACACTAATTTTTAGTTGTTAGTATGATGAATTCCCCCTATTTCTTCAGTTTTGATTTCGCTTATCTCGTCAGCATCCCCAACGGTAATCAAACCAGGATAGCTCGGCGCATATTTTTTACATGTTACAATCCACTCAGAATGGGAATATCCTTTATGAGGCAAGTCGAAGTGAAATTTATTGGCATCATGGATTGTGGTAAAATTCAACTATCAGTCCTTTATCAGGTTATAAGGCCTAGGGTGGATGGAATTCTCATTCAAGATCTACTGTTAGTATAAAAACCAAATCTTTATGACTATATATTTAGTATGTTCGCCTTGTGTTCTGCTCATTTATAGGCTTGTGAAGTAGAAGGACGCAAACCTCATAGTTCAAATCCTGAACATTCCACAAAGGTTGCGACGATAAATTTGGTCAAGGTAAATGCACTGGGATGTTCCGAAGTTTCGTGTTATGAGTACCAACAACCCGCAAATGAGCAGCAACAGTATTCACGACAAAGCTCGCTTGACATTGTGAATAAGAGTCAAGAACAGGATTGCTGCAAATCGTATGCTCAGGAAAGTCGGGGTCCGATAATCCAGGAAAATGATTTTAGCTGTACTGCCGAGAATGAGGAAAAGCCACGACCTACATCCACTAGCATAGTTTCCAGTTGCAGTGCAATTTGGGTCGCAAACAATGAGTCTGAGTTAGCAGGACCGATCGAAGAAACTCAGTCTTTTCGTTCCAAGCCTCAACAAGGTAAGGAAATAATTTTATTATAGATAGTCTTTAAAAATCTCTTTACTTTGATGAAAGCCCATTAGTTGTGGTCTACTTTTTTGTCTAACCATCAATCTTATGTCTGCATACCAGTTTTGCAATAGCAGAGATAAGTTCATACTAACAGTGATACAAGGTGACCCAAATCTTTGTAAAGACAGATGTTTTGGAGCTGCCACTTTGCATCATCATATCTACTTTTAGGTGAGGTTGCTGAAACTCAATTAGTACATAGATGGCATCTAGGCTAGAAGTGGCAATATGAATTTGCAAGCGCGAATAAATGAAGATAAAATCATTTTCATCAAGGTATAGCAATCTATTGTCAGTTAATAAGGCTTGTTTTTTAATCTCCATTGCTTTCCTCAAACAAAATAACGTCATGATTAGGTTCACTCTGGCTAATTCGATCGCCTTGGTTATGGTGACCAAACCTTAGGTAGACCAAATGATATCCGGCCAAACTTGAAAAAGTAATACCTTGTAGCTATTAAATGGAAACATACAACCATATTTCTATTGCTAAGCATACACAGTCATCGATTATTAGTAAGGCTTTGGATGCCTAATAGCCTGGCTGATTGTTTATTTAGAAGTAATTATCAAGGATTATTATTTTGATTATGTGTGCTTTAGGTAATAGTTGCTGGGAAATGGAAAGGAGCTCCAGGTAAGGCTCAAATTGTACCAGAATACGCCATTTTCAGGGAAGACTTTCATACATTCTCTGAAGCATAGCTGGAGCTGATAGGACTGAATTCCTGCCGGAAATGAGCAATTGTCTTGGCATCTAGACCAGTCTGATAGCCTGCTCGAGGTGAAAAAATGGTTAAATAGCGAACAGAATAATAAGTTACTTAAAATTACTAATTAAACTGTATCATTTGAAGGTGGTCTTTGGAATCTGAGTAAAAGAAAATTCATGCTCATAGACAATTTTGGTCTCCCAAGTCCCGATACGGCAGCTATTTAGTTGAATAAATCCCATTTATGCATCCATACAGGGTATGCAAAGACTTAACTAATCCCGAGGATGTAATTTCCTTGATCCCAAAAAGATGGTTATGTTTATATTTTGCCCATTTTTATTTAGCTGATCTCACAAGGGATATTTTGATAAGGGCTGAAAGGGAATATATTTAAATCAATTCGCTTTATCCTATTTCTTATTGTTCAGAAATAAACTCAATTAACAAGCTATGGTCTATCAGAAACCTTGCACTGACATTCAGTTTCTCATTGTACTAAATTTTTCCTAGCCCTTGAAGCTAAGAAATATCCAGGTTATGATGCTTGGACTGGGTTAATCATTTTTTTACAAAATCTTCTGTCCCATCATTATTAAATATTTTCTTTATTTAACCAGAGGAGGACACTTCAAGGTCTAAAGAAGAAAGATTCATGACTCCCAATATTATGTAAGTGGAAATTTCATGCTAAAATGTTGTTTGCCATTTTTGACTCGACCTTGATTTCAAATGAAAAGTTGGTGAAAATGGATTTGTGAACTGGTTGCCCTGGAAACCGAATGAGGATTGATTGTGGCAAATGTTGGGCTTGTCTTGCGACTCCGATAAGTCCGTACTGAATATTTGTCTTTAAGGCTGTAACAGATATCGTCAATACGAGAAATTACACTAAACGAAAGTCTTGGTCTGTTTCATGCTTATGCATTTCATATATCTACTATGACTACACTTTTAAATTCTCACAGTATTTGGTTGATCTCCTCGTGCTTACCCTACCTTTTTCTAGATTCTTGGTGTTAGTAAATGAAAAGGGAGTGGAAATGGTCGCAGCTGATATATTACGTAAATATACCAGCGTATGATCCTGTAATGCTGACTCCTGCTTAAGCATTTGGTATGTATGTGATGCC